GGGCGTCCAGCAGAGGAAACCCTCGTGACTATGTGCTAAGAGAAGAAACATTCTCATTCTCAGTCTTTCTCCCTCCTGCACACTGCTGGCAAAATTATCTTTCCAAAACCACAAATCCTGGACCAACCTACAACGCCTGAAAACTTCTGTGGCTCTTAGTTGTCAAATTCCCATCTGCTCACTTTGTCTTCAATACCCTGCCCAATCCAACTCTAACCTCTTCTCCGAAACACCAGAGAGGCAGTGAATTTCAGTGGTTAAGAAGGAGGGCTAACATGGAACTCCGCTCAATGTTACGGGACAGCCTGGATGTGTGGGGAGCTGGGGGAGGATGGATACCTGCATATGGCTGAGCTGCTCTTCAGAGCACCTGAAACTACTGCAGCATGTTCATCAGCCGTGTGCTGACACAAAATGAAAAGTTAAAAAAAAGTGTGGGCTAAGATTCCAGCTCCACCACCTACTAATCTACCAGACAACTGACCTGAGACAGATCTGGGCCTTGGTGTTCTCATCTGTTAAATGGTGTGATAATATAGCACCCTATCAGAGGGTTGTGTGTGAGGATGAAACGAGTTATTAGATCAAAAGTACCGAGAGTCATTCCTGACATACGACAAAGAATGCGACTTTCTCCTGCCACCAGCATGGACCTCCATCACAGCTGTCTGCTCCTCCCTCCCCGAACAGGACGTGCACTTACACACGCCTGCCTTTTCCACACGGGCTGCTTTTAAGTCTGCAACTGACTCACTGTGACTGCATATGTTTATGAATGTGAAGCTCCTCAGAGCAGACATTGCATCCTTAATTCATTATAAGGTATGGGATGCTGATTCACTTGATAAATGTTAAACCAGGGATCATTACCTAAAACTAGTCATTTTATAGTTTGTACTTTCACAAGAATGTGAAAGGTGGCCCTTTAAAGTTCATTCGGTTTCCTTTCCTGTTTACTTAAATGCTGAGTTCTAAGAATAACTGAAAGATTAGAAGGCTTTCTCCTCCCCAATTCTGTAGGCTCCCTCCCATCTTCCACCCACTCCTTTCTCACCATCACTTATAACAATAATGCCATAAATACTGACCCTGGGGCAGTTAAAGTGATCCTCAAATACTACACAGAATACAGGGATTATTATTATTATTATTGCTAGTAATACTGACGGATCTTGCCTCCACCAGCAATTACTGGCAGGAACTTGTCCAATGACACGGAGACCACTGTTTTCTCCACGTCCCCCAGACTCCGCCAGGGAGAAGCGGGACTTCGAAGGTTAGGGAAGACATATCAACTCTCTCAATTGAAAACAGGTGTATAATAGATGTCCAAGTTGTAAGTAAAAATGAGGTTGGTGGGTAATTTGAAATCTGGAATATTCTAAGGGCTTGGGAGGTTTGGGTGGTTTCCAGAAGGGATTAGAATCTGATCAACTCAGGTATACTGGGTTCTCAGAAGCCTACGAAAGGCAGGTAGAAAAGCTGGTGTTTCAACACATCACCTGGGGCAAGTCTCACATCTACAGAAGACACCTGCCTGCAGGGTCTAGATCCTTCCCATCCGCACCATCCCAGTCTAGTTCCATCATATCACGGGCTAGTTAACCATTAATTACACTGTGTCCTGGCTTACCAACAACCGTTATATATTATGCTGTTTCAATGGGAAAATATATTCCCAATCTGAACAACTGACTTACAGAAGACTTTGGAAAAGGTCTTATTCACAAGATAGGGATCACACAGAGTGGGAATCAGCCCCCTCTGGGGAGGATTTGTAAAGCATTGTGTCCTAAGTGTTGCAGGAAAAAGAAGCTAACCTCTTTGAAATGAGTAATGTAGGCTACCTAGCCAAAGTCAAAGACCATAGGCTGATTAAGCAATGACAAATATTAACTGCAAGAAAACAGGACGAGGCGAGATAAGGTATGGGACTGACCAGAGGCCGAGGGGCTGGGGTCAGACACAGCAAGCTGTGAGACCAGGCTCCGGGGAGCAACCCACTCGTCGGTCATTTCTTCCCCAGCAGCCCCAGGCCGGCCTGTTCCCTGCCTCGGAGGGCCTTCCTGAACCACCCCCTGAGAAACAGCCCACCCTCAACCTGAAGCTTTTTCTTCCCCTCACGGCACTCACCACTGTCTGAAACCGCCCACTGCTGCTTTACTGTCTGTCTCTCCCTGAAAGAACACGACCTCCACGAGGAGTTTCATTTCTATCTCGCTTGTGAGCGGGCGCCCGGCCCAGTGTGGTGTGTGGCATAGGGAGACACAGGGCACACACGTCTGCTGAACAGACAGGGCTGCACTGTGAGGATTCTGGGACGGGATAAAGGAATACATGCTCCATCCACCTACCCACGCATCTACCCATCTACCTACTCACTGACCTACTGATTATGGAACAGCATCGCTATACAGCAGCTCCTAAGGAACATTCTAGAAGAAGCGGAACAGAGGATGATACTGCTATGAGTCAGCAAGTGTTTACTGAACAACAGAAGAAACCAGGAGCATATGACATGGTCTTTTCAGGAGGCGGAACAAAAATCAGCTCAAGATTGAGAGCAGCTTGAATGCTTACTTAAAGTCTGTAAGTAAATGTCTTCAGTCAATGTTTGGAATTTATGGAGAACTCCTAGTGTCATGAAATTAAAAGAGTCTGCTCCTTGGAACGAAAGCTATGATGAACCTAGAGAGCACATTAAAAAGCAGAGACATCATTTTGTGAAAGAAGATCTGTATAGTCAAAGCTATGGTTTTTCCAGTAGTCATGTATGGATGTGAGAGTTGGACCATAAAGAAAGCTGAGTGCTGAAGAATTGATGCTTTCGAACTGTGGTGTTGGAGAAGACTCTTGAGAGTCCCTTGGACTGCAATGAGATCAAACCAGTCAATCCTAAAGGAAATCAGTCCTGAATATTCACTGGAAGGACTGATGCTAAAGCTGAAACTCCAATACTTTGGCCACTTGATGAGAAGAGCTGACTTACTGGAAAAGACCCTGAAGCTGGGAAAGACTGAAGGCAGGAGAAGAAGGGGGCAACAAAGGATGAGATGGTTGGATGGCATCACCGACTCAATGGACATGAGTTTGAGCAAACTCCGGGAGATGGTGAAGGACAGAGGAGCCTGGCGTGCTGCAGTCCATGGGGCCACAAAGAGTCGGACACGACCGAGCAACTGAACAGCAACAGCAACCTGGTGTCTGCCTGACACTAGGCGGACGCTGACGCCGTGGTCAGAGCAGAGGACGGCTCTGCATCTTCTCCCACAAAGTCAACCAAAGGTTCAGGTCCACCTTTCCTCACAGGGGAGCGGGCTGGGGGAGGCACCCAGACAGAGGCCCCCTCCCCGCACGTTCCTCCTGGATGCAGCCCCACCATGCTGGCCCCTTGGCCTTTGCTGACAGGCAGGGAGGCTGCCGTGAGATGCTGGAAGCAACCAAGACCAAGGCGATTTCGCCTGCCTTCTCGCCCATGCTGCCGTGACAGCTGCGGTCACAGCACACACCTTTTGGGAACAAGACTGCAGAGCGAGACCCTCCGTGTCTCTGTGAGCACAGCGTCCCTATGCACCTCATCTGTGCAGGGATTCAGAGGGTGCGCCAGCTGCTTCTGCACTATGTGAGCACAGAGTTCTCTGACTCATACTCAAAAGCTGGGAAAGAGGGACATTTAAGATAGTGGATTTCAAACTACGGTTTAAAAGACAGACTACTTTTCTGAAAATGGAGTTATACACAAATCCTTAACAAGTTAAACAGATCTCTGGGGGACTCTTGGGCTGAGGCTACGGTGACGGGCCGGGATCTGCGCTCTCGGCCTCCCCGTCCCCAATACCTCTGAGGAGCACAGCTGTCAAGGGGAAAGGAAGTTAGTATTTAGATAAATCAATAGATGAATGGAGGAGGAGGGAGAAAGGCTTCCTTAATATGAGGAAAGGTGGAGTGGCCAAGTCACCACTTTGTACCCATCACAGTAAAGACAGTAAAGATTCCAGCAAGAATCACCAGTGGAAACTCACCCTCAGAGGGAAAGTTTGGTAAGAAATAGGATATCGGCCTGACCTTCAAATATCTCCCCAGTTTGATTAGAAGGGAGAAAACACTGCTTATCAGGGCACCAACATCACTGGTCTGCAAACTACAAACATGTGAGTGTTGTACGAGACAAAGAAAGGCTGAGGAAACGTTACAAATTAAAAGATAAAAGAGACGGCATCTAAATACATTATGTGATCCCTGACGGGATCATGTACTTGAGGGTAAAATATTAGAAAGGACATTATTGGGATAACCGACAACATTAGAAATGAAAATTATCAGTTTGATAGAAGTGATGTATCATTGTTATTTGGTACCTGCACTGTGGTTCTTCAAGAGGATGCCCTGTTCTTAGGAAACACGTACTGAAGTAATGGGCCTAAACGGGACGTGACACGTGTGCCCTACTCCCTAACAGTCCAGAAGAACATACATCATATGGTGTATTTACATGCAGAGAGGGAGCAGTGGTTCTCAAAGTGGGCTCCCTGGAGGAGCACCAGCATCATCAGGAATGGGAGAGAAACACAGACTTTGAGGACCCGCCCCAGATCTCCCAAATCGGCGGTCTTGTCTGTTCTGACAGGCCCTCCAGGGGGTCCTGCTGCCAACTTCTGAACATCACTGATACAGACAGAATGATAAAAGAAGTGTGGTGAGATGTTTCTGGGGAAAGGGCATATATGGTAGCTTCCTGGATGATTACTGAAACTTACCTGTACTCTGAAACTGTCTCAAAATAAAAATGAACAATAACAACAGAAGGGTTACCCTGTGTAGAGATGGGAAAAGGAAGAGACCCTGAGGAAGGAGGCAGGTCGCAGGGTCCCTGCAGAGACCCTGACAGAGCTGCCGGGACCGGAACCTCAGTTGCCAGTGAGGGGCGGGGGGCGGGCCTGCTTGGGTCTCCCAGCAGCGAATCTCCGTCCGGCAGGAAGTGCAGCATGAAGCCTACTAACCTGAGTAGGAGAGGCCGGCGATCTCTGTAAACAGGTCTTCCTCAGAAAAGCTTTCCGGGAGCATGAGGAAGGCCGCGGTCACAGCGCTCTTCAGGTTTTGATCCAGGGCTGAGCGGAGAGCCACATCCTCATTCATCGCCACGATCTTCACCTGGAAAAGCAGGACGTTCAGAGGAAGACGTCCTGAAGCGGAGCATGGCCCAAGCTGGGTGTTACTACACGCGCTGGAGCTGTCCTACACCCTCAGCCCTGAAGATGCTGCAGCATTAGGCCAGGTGACATGAGATAGTTACTAATCTAGTAAGCAATTCTGGAGTCTCCTGTTTTAAGCCAGAACCAGACAACTCAGGACATAGGAAAGAAAACAAAATAAACATTTTTCTTAAGTGAGGAAACTCCACATGAATTTTGAAAAAGCAGTACAAAAATGGAATAAATGACCTTTGGGAACCTGAGAACTTTATTTTTTAATTTCATTGTTCTTTACTTAATTTTACAGTGGACAAAGGCATTTTACTTCTTTATTCAGAACTCATCTCTGTTCTTATCTAACCTGAGCAGGCCATGCTCTATTTTGAACTGATGTGAACCTGACTAAGGAAAAAGAAAGGAAAACTAGCTAGTAGGAGCTACCATCTTTGACGTTCCCCTCCCATCAAGATACAAACTGCTCCAGTGTGTTTGACTGGTTGTAAAGACTGCACTGCAGTCAACAGGATGAGCCCAAGTCCTCTCTCTCTTACTACCTCTGTGAGGGGGTTAGTAACTGAACCAGGCTTCCGAGGCTGCTGGGAAGATGAAGTGAGACCCTGCGTCCGAACCCACAGCTGAAGGCAGCTTCCCCGCGTGTCTCTTGGTGCACAGTGCACGTGTTTCTCTGAGCCGGGGCTCCTCCCCTTCAGTGAGATCAGAGTCTCCTGCAGGGCTTGTTAAAACACCCAGTATTAGGCCCATCCCCAGAGATTCTGGCTCAGCAGGCCCTGGGTACATTGCGGCCAGGTTCCCAGGTAACGCTGATGCCGCTCCAGGGACGGTGTGTGAGCACCGCTGCTCTAAGGCACGTGCTTGGAGCCCCAACGGCCAACTTGCTCTTTGTGCGATTGTGCCAGCCTGCACTCCCAACACGACTTTAGACCATCGTGCTGCTTCTGACTGATTTTCTAAACAAGCAGTGCGTCTAGAACTCCCTACTGAGGACACTCATGTATCTGAAACGTAGCCACTGTCTCTAACCACTTAGTGCTGTAACCAAACTCCTCTCATGTTCCAGAAAGTAGGGTTTAAACTGCCTTTTATTTATCAAACAAGGATAATTTCTGGCAAAATTCAGATGACACATAAAAGACACATACAGTATGAGAAACTCCAAATTAAAACTGCATTAGATAGCAAGGAAAGACGGGAGTGATGTACCTCCCAAAGTATAGTTTCTTCTCTGTTTTTTCATTAATTGTGAAAAGCAGTATCAGAAAACAACCATTTTATAAATCAGGCTTAAGAACCTGAGTGGAGAAAGATTGAAGGTAGGAGGAGAAAAGGACAACAGAGGATGAGATGGTTGGATGGCATCACCGACCGAGTCGATGGATGTGAGTTTGAGCAAGCTCCGGGAGTCAGTGATGGACAGGGAAGCCTTGCGTGCTGCAGTCCATGGGATGCAAAGAATCGGACACAACTGAGCAACTGAACTGAAGAACCTGAATTCTACCTTTTACCTTTTGTCCCTTTTTAAAATGGAATATTTACAACATACAAAGCTTCATATGGTATATAAGCTACTTAATTCCATACTGTCTCCTCCTTCCTCATAATTACAAGGACTTAATGGCCCTGAATTAAGCCTTGGAGCACTTGGGTGAGTTTGGAATTACCGCAAACATCTGCAGAAATCAAAGCAAGGAGCAGCCCAGGAGCATGGCCTGCCCAAGGATGCATAATAAGCTGATGGCAAAGACCAGGGTAACACCCTTGTCCTTGGCAGAGCCAGCTCTGAATATTCAGATGTACCCTCACGCATTCTGTCCTGCTTAACTTTCAATCTTGGAAGATGATTAAGGCAAAACTGAAGGCCCTACAATAACCCCTCTGTCTGGTCCTTGAATAACTTTCCCAAGCCTTACACTCCACATGGAATCAAGGATCTAGGAGGGCAGCCTCCTCACCTCGCTAATGGGGGGACTGGGACCAGAGGGTTAAAAGAGCTCCCCTCGAGGAGCAGGCAGAACCCTAGACCAGGACCAGTCCAGAGAGCCTGTGAAGCCTCTTCATTATTTCCTATTCTTCATCCTCATTCACCACGTCCTGCTCAATAATTCTTCACCCTCTTTTTTTTTTGCAGGGGGGTGGGGAGGTGAACTTTCACAGAAACTCAATGAAAATAGAAGCTATTTTGAGATACTAACAAATCAAACGTGCAAAAGAAAGAGTAAGTTTGGGAAAATTTTTCCTATTCTGTGAAAAATACTCGTGTTCTCTAAGAAAGTTTCTACTTAGGTGTTTGCTACTTAAGGTTCAGTTCAGTCGCTCAGTCGTGTCCGACTCTTTGCAACCCCATGAATCACAGCACACCAGGCCTCCCTGTCCATCACCAACTCCCGGAGTCCTCTCAAACCCATGTCCATCGAGTCGGTGATACCATCCAACCATCTCATTCTCTGTCGCCCCCTTCTCCTCCTCCCCCCAATCCGTCCCAGCATCAGGGTCTTTTCCAATGAGTCAACTCTTCGCATGAGGTGGCCAAAGCACTGGAGTTTCAGCTTCAGCATCAGTCCTTCCAGTGAACACCCAGGACTTATCTCCTTTAGGATGGACTGGTTGGATCTCCCTGCAGTCCAAGGGACTCTCAAGAGTCTTCTCCAACACCATAGTTCAAAAGCATCAATTTTTCGGTGCTCAGCTTTCTTCACAGTCCAACTCTCACATCCACACATGACCACTGGAAAAACCATAGCCCTGACCAGACAGACCTTTGTTGGCAAAGTAACGTCTTTAAGAGAATGAAAATAAAAACATTCTAACTCAAAGGAAAAACGTGAGTTCAGGAGACTCTGCTCATCTGGTTTCCCAGAGGAAGGTGAACCACGAACTTGTCTTGGCAGTACTGTTCCTTGCCGTTCAGAGTGGAAAGCCAGGGAACTCTTGCGACACTGCCAGAGAGGCCCCGGAAGAAAAGGGAAGTCCTCAGATTTGTGAATAGCTGTCTGTATCTTACTGGGAATGCCCTGACCTGAACCACAGATTGAGTGTCAGCACGACTGCCAAGGGGAATATCCTCACTGGAGAGAGAGAGGAAGGCCTAACACTCGAAGGGGCTTTCAAAAGCCCAACTGGAGAGATTTGTGAGTACCTTTCAAGACAGAAAAAAGGACAAAGTCACGCATGGTCTCCTCTATGAGTCACATGGAGACAGAGCTTGAACTGCCAAGAGTGAAGTTATAGTCACAAAGGACACAGCCCTCCCTCCCGTTCAAACACTCGACCATTAACCCAGTGACACTTCCCATAGCAGCTTTCCAAATGAACAGAAAGGCCGATTTTTCTAAATGGACTCGCTTGAGGACCAAAAAGAAACAGTGGACATTTGAGCTGGATTTTTAAAAAAACCTTATTATCTACCTATTGGACTGTAGGCGCTTGAGACTAGAAATGTGGTTGTCTTTTTTTTTTAATTCTTCTGGCATACACAGAGAAAAAACTTAGTCTTTTGAATAAGTAAATGAATGGCTCAATCTTTCATTTCAAAGGCTACAGGCCCAAAGATTTGCTCTCTGCCAGGCAGAGCCAAGACTAGTGAACCAGGCCTTCCAAGTCTCATTCAGGGACCTTTTCTACCCCTGGGGGAGGTTTTCTACTACAAAAAAGTCAGTCAGTGAAGTTACAATATGGTGACACCTGCAAACTGTGACTATACTAAAAAACCACTGAGTCATACACTTTTTTAAAGTGTTGAAGTGTGTGTGATTCTATCTCAATAAATCAATTATTAAAAAAAGCTATGACTAGCGAATAAAAGGAAAAAATATTGAAATGAATACATTAAATTAAAATTCTATTAACAAGGTGGCAAAATAGCATTGTCTGTCTGTGTGAATGCTTTAAATATTTAAGCCAAATTATCCATACACTAAAAAAAAAACATGAAATACAAAAATTGAACTTACATTAAATAAATTAGAGGAATAAATACTAATATAACTTTAGACTTCTTGGACCTGAAGACTGGCCACAACGAGATTCTATTAAATACTTTACATGGAAAATGGCTTGGTTGACAACGCAAACTTACAGTTGCACTAGAAGTAAAATCGGGTTGTCTCCTCAATGATGAGGTAAGGTAACCGTAACGTATAACAGAAATCCAACGTGTACTCAATTTTTTCTAGAAATGTCCATCTTTTTAAGGAATGTACTCCTCTATATTCTTTCCTATTTTCTTAATAATAAACTTTATTTTTTTTTAAACTTTATCTTTTAAGGTAGGTTTAGGTTCACGGCAAAGCCAAATGAGAAGCACAGAGAGTTCCCACATGCCCTCTGTGTATCCCTTTTAAAGACTTAAACTGCTAGTGATTGAGAAATCCTATTCCATTCGTTTTTAGAGCTTCAGACAACATAATTTAATGTAATTCCTTTTAAGACACATAAAAACAAAAAGTCCACACTCATTCTCACAATTCTTTCTTAAGATATTCACCCATTATTTTCATCCAAAGGCTTCCAACTCTATCAGGTTTATTCCTTTGGTTAATATTTGCTGCCACCTAGAGGTACTCTTGTATGGAAAATCCCATGAATGGAGGAGCCTGGTAGGCTGCGGTCCATCGGGTTGCTAAGAGTCGGACATGACTGAGCGACTTCACTTTCACTTTTCACTTTCATGCATTGGAGAAAGAAATGGCAACCCACTCCAGTGTTCTTGCCTGGAGAATCCCAGGGATGGGGGAGCCTAATGGGCTGCCGTTTATGGGGTTGCATAGAGTCGGACACGACTGAAATGACTTAGCAGCAGCAGCAGCAGCGGTAAAAAAAAAAAAACCACATAACTGTATTTGGCTCAGACGGTAACAAAGCCACCTGCAAGAGTCCCAGGTTCGATCCCTGGGCTGGGAAGATCTCCTGGAGACGGGAATGACTATCCACTCCAGTATTCTTGCTGGGATAATTCCATGAACAGAGGAGCCTGGCAGGCTACTGATCATGGGGTTGCAAAGAGTTGGACACGACTGAGCGACTAACACTTTCAGGGGTAAAAATAGTTTAAAGAGAGTTATCCTAAGAATTGTCCAGTTAACAGTGATCTACTTCTGCAGAAAAGAGAAACTGGAGACAGGTGTAGGTGGAAGAGTTGAATTATCCATTTACGATTTTTAATTTCATGTGATATGTTCAAAACCTCAACTGGTTCTTAAGATAGCTTAATTTTCTTGTGCTAGAAGCTTCTTTCCTGATGCTGGGAAGATTGAAGGCAGGAGAAGAAGGGGACAACAGAGGATGAGAGGGTTGGATGGCATCATCGACTCAATGGACATGAGTTTGAACAAACTCCGGGAGTTGGTAATGGACAGGGAAGTCTGGCGTGCTGCAGTCCATGGGGTCGCAAAGAATCGGACACGGCTGAGCAACTGAACCTAACTGAGAAGCTTCTTAATAAGCCTGTGCACACGTGCTAAGTCACTTCAGTCGCATCCGACTCTGCAACCCCAGGCTCCTCTGCCCACGGGATTCTCCAGGCGAGAACACTGGAGTGAGTCGCCATGCCCTCCTCCAGGGGACGTTCCCAACACGGGGTCAAATCCAAGCCTCTTATGTCTCCTGCACTGGCAGGCGGGTTCTTACCACTAGCACCGCCTGGAAAGCCCACTAAGCCTGAGGGATGGTCATTGTTATCAAGAACATTGTCTTCTCCAAGTAAGCTGAGAAATGCAGTTTTAAATGAGCTGAGTGTATCTGAGTGTTGCTTGGAACTGATGTTTTTGTCAGGATACTTGACATTTAGATGAAATCTGAGGTCATTTCCAGTGCTTACATTCTGAGACTTCATGGCACATATGTTTTCTGTAGTCTGTACAAGCTGGATTTAGAAAAGGCAGAGGAACCAGAGATCAAGTTGCCAACAACTGTTGGATCATACAAAAAGCAAGGGAATTCCAAAAAATATCCACTTCTGCTTCATTGACTATGCTAAAGCCTTCAACTGTGTGGATCACAACAAATTGTGGAAAGTTCTTAAAGTGATGGGAATACCAGACCACCTTACCATCTCCTGAGAAATCTGTATGCAGGACAAGAAGCAACAGTTAGAACTGGACGTGGAACAATGGATTGGTTCCAAATAGGGAAAGAAGTACTTCAAGGCTGTATATTGTCACCCTGTTTATTTAACTTATACGCAGAGTACGTCATGTGAAATGCTGGGCTGGATGAATCATAGCTGGAATTAAGATTTTGGGGAGAATTATCAGTAACCTCAGATATGCAGATACCACTTTAATGGCAGAAAGTGAAGAGTAACTAAAGAGTCTCTTGATTGGGGTGAAAGAGGAGAGTGATAAAAACTGGCTTAAAATTCAACATTCAAAAAACTAAGATCACAGCATCCAGTCCCACCACTTCATGGCCAATAGATGAGGAAAAAGTAGAAACAGTAACAGATTTTATTTTCCTGGTCTCCAAAATCACTGCAGATGGTGACTGCCATGAAATTAAGATGCTTGCTCCTTGGAAGGAAAGCTAAGACAAACCTAGACAGCATATTAAAAAGCAGAGATGTTACTTTGCTGACAAAGGTCCATCTAGTCAAAGCTATGAGTTTTCCTAGGAGTCATGTGTGGATGTGAGAGTTGGATCATAAAGCAGGCTGAGCACTGAAGAATTGATGCTTTTGAACTGTGGTGTTGGAGAAGACTCTTGAGAGACACTTGGGCTGCAAGGAGATCAAACCAGTTATTCCTAAAGGAAATCAACCCTGAATATTCACTGGAAGGACTGAGGCTGAAGCTGCAGCTCCAATACTTTGGCCACCTGATGTGAAGAGCCAACTCATTGGAAAAGACCCTGATGATGGGAAAGATTGAGGGCAGGAAGAGAAGGGGATGACAGAGGACAAGATGGTCACATGGCATCATCGACTCAATAGACATGAGCTTGAGCAAACTCTGAAAGATAGTGAAGGACAGGGAAGCCTGGCATGCCACAGTTCATGAGGCTGCAAAGAACTGGACATGACTTAGTGACTGAACAATAACAACAATGCCAAGCTGTGCTGGGTAGATTGTTTTAAAAAAAAAAAAAACTTGAAACATTGCAAGAACAAAACACAGTACAGAGAATACATTTTCACATTCAACGCCTCATTTTACCTCAAAATGACTGAGACAGGTGAAGACAGAAAGAAGGGAAAGATGGCTTCCTGAACGTCTGCTAGGTGCCAGGCACCTTAGATCCAGGCATTTCTCAAATGCCTTGTGAGGACAGCGTCATCACTCTCAGCTACAGGTGAGCGAGTCCCAAGGCCCAGGCAGATTCAGTCCCTGGTGCCAGTTTACATGGCTGGGGGTGTCAGAGCTGGACTCAAACCCTAGAACTGCCTGACTTGAAAACACCTGTGTTCTTTCCAGCATTAGCATCCTGCTTCCACTTTTCACCACTTTTGTGAAGAGGGCAGGGCAAGGATTGCTATTCCCATTCTACATGGCACTAGTGGTCATCAGCCTGCCAATGCAGGAGACGCAAGAGACTGGGGTTCAATCTCTGGGTCGGGAAGATACCCTGGAGAAGGAAATGGCAACCCACTTCTGTATTCTTGCCTGGGAAAATCCATGGACAGAGGAGCCCGGTGGGGTATGGTCCCTGGGGTTGGACACAACTGAGCACAGAGAAGTATAAAACAAGCTGCCTAAGACCCAGAGGGATCGGGTGGAGAGGGAGGTGGGAGGGGGGACCGGGATGGGGAATACATGTAAATCCATGGCTAATTCATTTCAATGTATGACAAAAACCACTGCAATGATGTAAAGTAATTAGCCTCCAACTAATAAAAATAAATGGAAGAAAAAAAAAAAAACAACAAGCTGCCTAACATCACATAAATAGTTAATAAGTAGCAGGAGTGAGTAAGACCCAAGGATTCTAACTCGACATTCATTAATCTTCCTATCAAGCTACATATTTTGTGTATTTAAAAAGAAAGGAAAGAAAAGGAATATTTACAAATATACAATTACATTTATTTCCTCAATTATGAGGAGGGCATGGTAACCCATTCCAGTATTCTTGCCTGGAGAGTCCCATGGACAGAGAAGCCTGGCAGGCTACAGTCCATAGGGTCACACAGAGCTGGACATGACTGAAGCAACTTGGCAGGAGTGCAAGCATTGTTTCTGGACTTACAAGTTTTACTTAAGTAAAACTACATACAGTAAAGCAGAGTAACCCACCCAGCACAGCTTGGCAGACTGTCACATACGGATGTACCCAGACCTTTTGGCTAAGATCAGGCGCGGTATGGGGGACTCCCAGAGGGCACAGTGGTGAAGAATCCACCTGCTGATGGACACAGGTTCGACCCCTGGGCTGGGAAGACCCCCAGAACAGGAAATGGCAATCCACTCCAGTATTCTTGCCTGAAAAACTCCACGGACAGGGGAGCCTGCTGGGCTACAGTCCACGGGGTCGCACAGAGTTGGACGTTACTGGGCAACTGAGTGCAGAACACTGTATCCATGTAACTGTCGCCCTGATCAAATGTTTCTGCATGTTTTAATGAGCTACACTGTTAAATTTTAAGCCTAAATGCAAGGAAAGAGAATCTGGTCCTCCCACACGTCAGTAGAGATTTTATCACACAACCAAGTGAGCTCAGACTGTATAAAACTCTCTAATCTCTTGCCAAAGCTGACAAAGAATGAGCAGCACAGTCACCCATGAGAGGTGTCTGGGAACACTCTGTGAGCCCTCTTTGGGGCTGAAGACCCTCTGACAGTTCGAGAAAAATTAATCCTTGTTGGGAGATTAGCAATTGTGACAACTTCGTCTAGATCTTAAACTATGAAGATGTCCTTCTCAGATACAGACTACACGTCTGCAAAAAGAAGAAGCTGGTATTTATGAACGCGTGTCAGAGGTTTAGGCCCTCTGCACTCTTCTGTCTGTTTCCACTTCTAGTAAAGTCTGGGGAGAAGCCTGCCCCTGTGGCTTCCTTCAACAACCTTCCAAACAAGGAGGGGGCTGAGACAGGATCCCAGGCACTGTCGGGACAAACTGGTGGACAAGCAGTGCCCTGTGGCACTGGCACTCTAGAAGAAGCGGTGATCTGGGGGGCGTGGGGGGATGTGGTTTGCTGACAGAGGCTCTACGCGGCCTGGGCACCTCCCCTGTCATCCTCCCAACTCAAACGGACTGACTCTGAGTCTGATCCATTCAGACACCTGGAGAATCTTGAGAGAGGGAAGCAGCAGTGTGAGTAATACCTGGATACTGTTTGGCAATAAATTCTGTACACAGGAAAAGGAGTGTGAAGCTCATTTCTATGCCAATGCAATCACAAAGGTCAAAGTAAGGTCAGGTCTGGAGAGGAGAACCATCCCTAACAGAACACTCACTCACTGGTTTTTGGAGTCGACCAGCAATGTATAGGTTATTCCAGTTGAGGAGATCTTCGATCAAAACACTGGTGCTAATAACTCCATATTTGATAAGCTGGAAAAGAAAAGAAATGTGCATGAAAAAGAGCAAAATACCATCCTGACCCTTGTGCAAGTGCAAAATATAAATAACTAAATTTCTGACCAGGGCAGAAGCTTGATTTCCAAAGCCACTCAAAAAACCACCAGCTTGTAAAAACACACATCCCCACGAAATCTTCTGCAAAGGGTTAGTTTCCAAGACTGTCTGTTGCCTGAGGCATTCATGGTGCGCTGACCAGCTTCAACTCTGGCACTTGTGACGTCAGAGGCAGGATGGCTCTTATAGGCTGTGGTCTTGGTCCTCAATGGACTGGAAATATCAATAAAAACACTGGTCCTGACAGACCCGTGGTACAGTTCATTCTCCTCACGTGAGAAATAAGAAACCTGACGCTCAGAGAGAATAAACGATGTGCCGAGGTGGCACCCAGAGGGGCAGAGCTAAACCAGGTCCCTGAATTTCAGGCTGGGCTTCCAGTGTTTGTTTCATCACAGAGAATGAGAAATTTTCCTCAAAGTTTTCACTGACATCCTTGACACGGTGAATTTCTCTTTCACAGTTGACTATTTGAAACACTTCTGTAATTACAACGCAACATGCAAACATAAAACCTCTTTATCAGCTCTGAACACATGGAATTATGGTCAAGCTCATTTCAGTAGTAATTTGCACAAACCCTGAATGCAGTTGTTCTAGGTTACAAAATCCCATTTGCTTCAACAGATATCTTCAGACTCACTTCACTGAACAGTATCCAAGCAGTCTTCTCAGGCTGCAAATATCTAAAAAGTAGCTAAAGAATTCCAATTAAAAAGTACAGTCCCTTTGGCACACAATTACGCCCAAACATTTGGTCACTGGAGCCTGCAATGCTGTTTGAAACTACTAATTAGAGGTCGGCTCAGCATAACATTAACCCTGGAGAAAGCACAGGGCTCCGAGCTCCATGACCGGTGCGGATGTGCGGGGCTGGGCTAGTGACCGCCTTCCCCCCACTCCGCCACCGCACTGCAGAGCCCTTCTTGCTACAGGCGCCTAACAGCCAGGAGGCAGGATGGACGGCAGCCAGAGAAGCAAACGCCGGGCCCAAAGGCGATGCAGACATCACCCACAGCGCTCATCCCTGCCTCGCTCAGACAGGCCGGCAAAATCCTTCTCAAGTCGGTACTCCAGCCTCCTGCCTTTCAAAGTGCGGTCCACCGCCCAGCAGCATCAGCATCAGCGTCCCAGACCAAGTGAATCAGAACCTGCGTGCCAACAAGATCCTCAGGTGACGCGTCTGCCTGTGGAAGGGTGACGGCCCTGAGCCGGCGGGAGCCCGGCGCAGCGCAGGCACGGCCGACACCCTCCGCCCAGCCGACTCCAGGAGGCCCCTGACTCAGCTCCACTGGTCCTCTCGCACTGGGGTCACGCTGGGCTCCTGGCCGTCCTCTTAAGAGCCTGGGCCCCTCATCGGAATGACCACTGGGCAGGGTCCCTGCAGTCAGACAGCCCTCCGCCGGGATCCGGGGTGCTCACCTGCCCTCCAACCAGTCATCAAATTCCACCCAACCGAGGGTACCGAGGGGTTCCCCCCACCGGGCACCACATGCTCCCAACGACCTACGATCCCCTCTTCACTTCCAGCTTCTCCCTGGGCATGTGCGCCTCTCTGTACAGACAAGATTAACTTCCACCCTGATCCAAAATGGTCTGCCCGTTCCTCCCACTGACCAAACCAGTGGTTCTCAAGGTGTGTTCCAGACGGGCAGCATCAGCATCGTTTGAAAGCTCGTTAGAAATGCAAATCCAGGGGGCAGAGAAGGTGGGACAACAGAGAGAGAAGCCCTGAAATATACACCACCATGTGTACAAGAGACAAATAACGGGTCTGTACAACACAGGGGGCTCACCTGATGCTCGGCGACAGCTTAGAGGGGTGGGATGGGGTGGGAGGTATGTTCCAGATGGAGGGGACATATGTATACCTCCGGCTAATTCATGCTGATGTACGGCAGAAACCAACACAATGGTGTAAAGCAATTATCCTCCAATTAAAAATAAATAAATTTTTAAAAAAGAAATGCAAATCCTTGTGGTTAAGAGAGTAAACCTTAAAAGTTCTCATCACCAGAAAAAGAAAACCAACTATGTATGGTGATGTATGTTAACTAGACTTACTGTGGTAATCATCTCACAGAAAGATCAATCATTACACTACACACCTAAAACTAGAACAGTGTTACAGGACAATTACCTCTCAATGTGTAAAAAATGCAAACCCTCAAACCCTATCCCTGAATTTCTGATTCTGGAACTCTGGGGGTGGGACACACCATTCCTGTGCCCGAAAGGCACTCCAGGTGCCGTTGAGGAACGCTAAGTTGACACCAAGAAACATTTGTTGTTTTTCACTCTCTAAGTTATGTCCAACTCTTTGCCACCCCACGGACCACAGCACATCAGGCTTCCCTGTCCTTCACCATCTTCTGGAATCAAACTCATCTCCCAAAGTCAAATTCATGTTCATCAAATCAGTGATGCTATCTAACCCTCTCATCCTCTGCCACCCCCTGCTCCTCTTGCCCTCAATCTTTCCCAGCCAAAAAACATTTGGCCAAAGGCAAAAAAAAAAAGTCGTATTCACCACCTTCATCCAGCAAAAGTGTGAACATTTCCTGACCATAAGAACACACGTATTTACCTGGGATTCTAAGAACAAAGGTTAATATCCACCCAGGTTAAGACAGAGGCCCGAAGTCACTCACCCTCCCGTCACATGCGATCAACGTGTTGTAGTAAACCCCAGCACCGTAGTTATTCTGGACAGCAGTGATAATCCTGGGCCCCAGCACTTTCAGCAAGGAGTAGTGGCTCCAGTTTTTCTTCAGGTTCTCTGAATGCCACGCGACAGGGTCATCAACTGCGAAGACAAAGTCCAGCACTGCATTCTGGGAGGTGAAGAGAAGAGACTGATTTTAGTTTTAACTCCTAGAAAGACACCGAGACAGAGTGGAAAGCTCTAAGGCTCCATGTAGCTTTGATTAACAGCAGACCCGGGGTCAGAAACTTAAGCAAACCTCTGGAACCAGGCTGAGCTTTGTTTTTTGTCAACACACGTAACAGTAATGTTTACTGAAGTAATGTTTTAGCCCTCTTCTAAACACTTTCTGTATTATACAGAACTTCTTATCCTCAACACAATCCTACAAGCTAGATACCGTTATTATCCCATCTCTACAGGAAAGGAAACCACGGCACAGAGTAAGCTCCGACAGACACAGTCTAGTTCCAGATTCTGGGCGAGACCACTTTGCTACACTGTCTTCCACCTAAATCTAGTTAAATGTGTTCCACTTTTCTTCCAGATCAGGTAACACAATGTGGACAAGCTCTATAAAGCATTATGCAAAGGGAAATCTTATTTTAACTTCACCCATTCACCAACCTCCTCTGATCATCTACGAGGAGCTCTGATGGGTCCTGAGATAGAGGTAAAGAGCTCAAAGTCACCTGGGGAGAATAGACAGATTATTAGCAAAAGGACTTGCTAGCGGAATTTCACTCAGAATGGGGTCACAGAGGAAGGAGGAATTTTCCTATAAGATGACACTCTTCAAGACTCCGGTAAGTCTGAGTCTTCCAGAATGCACAAGAGTTAAGCAGATTTGGTGAAGTGTTAGGAGAAGCCTGAGGAAGGGGGGCGGGGGAGTCTTGTTGGATGAAAATGCTCTTGAGGAGATGAGACCTGGGCATGTTCTGGGTGCTGTGCCTAGGTTGGTAAGGCTGGGATGGGATGCAGGTATAGAGTGGTGGGAGATGGGACCAAAGAGAGACGCTGGCTGCCATGGTAAGAAATGTTCCTGCAGCAGAAAGGGAGGGCGGACTAAAGGACGCACCATCACACACGAGGCTGCCTGCCAGTAACCAGGGCACCGAGGCAGGGACTCATCTGGGACAGACTCAGGTGCTGGAATCTATTTGTGAATTTGCAGGGAACGAGGGTGAGGGAAAAGACCTTTTCTTGGAGGGAATTCCAGGTCTGCTCAAAGGAAAATCTTCACAGGAAAATGAAGAGATGACTACAGAATCAGGACGCTCTGAGTTTCCTACAAACTAGTGGTGATAGTTAAGATTTTGAGTGGACACGTTTTTAACAATTTTATGTTAACATATGTTGGGGAAAAAATAGCCTATTATAATCTATAATTTCCTGTATGCCCCAAATTTATCATTTCTCATATGATGCCAAATTAAAGTACTATTTAAATTAGGGGGCTTTGCAGGTGGCTCAGTGGTAAAGAACACCTGGCAAGGCAGGAGACGTGGGAACAAGGCTTCAATCCCTACATCAGGAAGATCACCTGGAGAAAGAAATGGCAACCCACTCTAGTATTCTTGCCTGGAGAATCCAATGGATAGAGGAGCCTGGTGGGCTACAGTCCATGGAGGTGCAGAATTGGAAAAGACTGAGCGACTGAGCACAATAAAATACAAAATAAGCACATTACTTAAGTACTAGTACAGGTGGGAACCAGGAAATTCAAGCCACAGTATAGATGGCCTAACCAGGAAGTGAACAGGCAAAGATTAACTGAAAGATTACAGTCAGGTAATCTAGTGAGGCCCTAGTGCAGACTGCACCAGACCATTTCCTTCCTTTATTAAAGAAACCCAGTCCAGAACACGAGCCGCACATACAGAAACATCTCTATCTAGACTCCTGCTCCTTCAACCTTAATTCAGCAAGGGCGCAAAGGCCCCTGTCAGTCAAAGTCAATTAAAAGCCTCATTAAATGGAAAATAACTGCCTGCCACTCTTGCATGTCTTGAACCTTGTCTCCAATTTGGAAGCAAACTTGCCCCCCCACTCCAAACACAGAAGAAGAAAAAAAATCTACAATCATAAGGAAACCTATACCCTCACTGCTGTGGTGCCCCGCCAACTTTGAAGAGTAACAATGCTTAGTCCTAAACAGACACTTGGTAAATGTCCTGGGCAGGAGCAAATATACTGCTCACCCTCTAACTCCCTTCCTGCAAATGCCCGAACCCTACCATTCGTTCGTCAGCTTCCCAAAGTCAGGAGAATCACTTTGTTTTTTCTCCTACAGCCAAAGACGTAATTCTCAAGCTTGGCTGCGTAGTAGAATCACCTGGGGTTTTTTAAATTCCTAATGCCCAGACCAATTAAACCTGAATCTCTGCAATTGGGACCCAGATTATCAGTGTTTTTTAAAAAGCTTTCCAGAAACCTCCAATGTTCAGCCAAGGCTGAGAAGACTGAACAAAGACCTGGCAAGTTTTTTAGTTTTTTTTTTTCACGTCTTGTCCCGGCACTAGCTCTTCGCTCCACATAACTGCATCTCCCGCTCTTAGACCCAAGCGGACTCCTACGTGTCCTGGAAGCGCAGCTCACGCTGCCGCTCTGCTAAGAGCCCTTTCGCAGGGTTTGTGTCAGGTCTTCGCGAGTTGATACGGGGATGCGCAGAGCGGCCCGGCAGCTCCGGGGCTCGGGAGGGACCGAGGGCAAAGCGACCTCGAAAGCACGTTCCCGGCGCGGAGCTGGCCCGGGCTCACCTTCTGGTCTGAGCTGGGCCCCGCCTGGCGGTACACCCCCGAGCCGTAGGCGAAAGCCAGGCTCAGCTCCTCCGGGAAGTGAGACAGGATCTTGCGGAAGGCCACCCCCGAGCTCTGCAGCGCCTGCAGCGCCATTGGGCCGGGGCTCACCCAGGGCCCCCCGGAGGACGGCGGGCGGGGGACGCGAACCCGCCGGTGGGAGATGGAAGCCGGTTACCCGCCCGGACGGAAGAGGGCTGGGGCCGGGGGGTGAGGAGAGGGGGGCTCGCAAGGACTCGGGGCGGCAGGTCAGTCAGACACGAAGTCTGTCAGAAGTGAAGTCAGTCACGCGGGACGCACCCGGGACACAACCGAGTGGGCGACGTCCCGCCGCTCAGGCGGCCACGCGGGCCACGCCCCCCGCGCGCACACGTGCTCCGAAGGCGCAAGAGCAAGAGCAGGCGTCTTCCCGCGAGTGGGGACGCCAGGCCTCCGCAGAGCCCCCTGGTGGTCGGAGGAGCGCGCTGCAGGCTGGCCGCCTGGGATTAAGACTTGGACATGGGAGGGGGAGCGTGACTGCTGACTGAGCTGCCTTTGAGCCGTAGAAGTCCTTGCTGGTTCTCGCCTCAAACCTCGTTTTCCTAAATGACTGTGAAATCACGTGTGTAGTATTGCAGGAGATCTTTTGGATGAGGTGGAATTCACATAACATAAAATTGTACACTTTACAATTTAGTGCATTTATTGCATTCACAATATTATGTAACCATCGTTTCTATTCAGCTCTGAAACTGCAGAAGTTTTGAAGGTTTAGGGGAACACAAGTAAGGTTAAAATCACCCTAAATCCCACCACCCAGAGACTATCACTGTTAAGATTTGGCTGTGCTTTCTTCCCATTAAAATCATCTCCAAATTCTATGATGGGTAGGAAAGTGCTTCATAAGTAGTAAAAAAAAAAAAAAAAAAAAAAAAAACCCACACCAAGGTTCTCTAATTGTAATTAATTTTAAGGGTGAGAAAGAGTCTTTTCCCCTTTGCCTTATGGATTAGGCTCACAAAGGGGCACATGAAATGCAGTTTCTGATGGAAATGGGATCCTAGGTAAGAGCTCACCTCTTCATGAATAATTAAAGAAACTTGTGGGGCTTCCCTGGTGGTTCAGTGGTTAAAGAATCTGCCTGCCAAGGCAAGAGACGCAGAAGATGTGGGTTTGAACCCTGGGTCAGGAAGATCCCCTGGAGAAGGAAATGGCAGCCCACTCCAGCATTCTTGCCTAGAAAATTCCACAGACAGAGAAGCCTGGCGGGCTACAGTCCATGGGCTCTCAAAGAGTTGAACAGAACAGAGTGACCGAATAACACACACACACAGAGACAGAGAGAGAGAGAGAGAGAGAGAGAAACTTGCTCCGCATCGCCGGGCCCTTCAGGATGTAGTCTGAATTCCTGGACAGGGGCTTTTCAGCTATGCTTCCCTTCTCCCCTGATGAGCCCGGCCTCTCAAAGATAACAGAAGTAGTAATAGCTAAATTTGGGTTTGGCTAAATGCCGTTGATGCGTTTCACATGCATTTTTCATTGCGTTCCTTCTACAGCCTTGTGGGAGGAGGTGATGCCTTCATTTCGCAGATGAAGCAGCCAAGCGTTGGAGAAAGCAATGTGCTGGCTGGCCTTGCAGGGACTCGGGGCGGTGGGGGCGGGGGGGTGGAGGAGACGGAGGAGCAAACCCAGGCTGGACCGTGCAGGGGCGAGGCTGGTGCCCAGGGCCCCCCCGGACCGGAGGAGGAGCCCCCGTCAGTTCTGCCTGCGCCGCAGAGACCAGGGAGGCCGTCGGCGATGGCCCGTGAGCCGGTCCAGAAGGATGGGAAGGAGTTCATCCTGAAGACGACGGAAGGGAGACTCTACCAAGGAAGGACCCGCAGGACAGTAATAATCAGTGACCTCGTTTCTGGTCTATTCTCAGGCTCTCTCTGATTTTCTCGTTACAAAGACCCCTGGGGCAGGTTCTCTTAGACCATCATTGCTCACAAGAGGAGCCAGGCCACCTGAGAGAAGCAAAGCTCCCCAAGCCCCACGGCGAGGCGTGCGGCCACGCCAGGATCTGAACCCAGCGCTCCCGAACGCCAAAGGCCGAGCTCTTCACCACCTTGAGCCAGTGGCTTCTGGAGGGGGCAGCCTGGGAGGCAATGCACACGGCAAGCCAGCTGGTTTTCCTCCGTCAACCAAGGCTGAGGCGCAGCGGCCGTGGCACCCGGAGGCCAGAGAGAGGGCGCGGAGGAACCCCCCGCGCCTCAGTCCCGCTGTGGGCACGTGGGCGCTGGGCTTCCTTCTGCCGACACTGCCCCTGCCCGCACGGCCAGGCGGGTAGACCACTCAGCACGGGATCAGCCCGAAACGCAAAGTGGGAGTCGCTCAGGCGTGTCCCACTCTTTGCGACCTCATGGACTGTAGCCCGCCGGCTCCTCTGTCCATGGGATTCTCCAGGCAAAAACGCTGGAGTGGGTTGCGGCTCCCTTCCCAACCCAGGGATGGAACCCAGGTCTCCTGCATTGGCAGGTGGATTCTTTACCATCTGAACTAACTTTCACCAAAACACAGTGAATAAATCTCTGCCAGCAAATTTCCTTTTTTCTCCTTTCTTCCCTTGAAGGAACAATTCAGCTTTCTATTTTCCCCTTCTCTTTGCCAAAGCAATCTATACTCTATAATAATATATAATCTATACATAAAAATGTCAACATTACAAAAATACGTATACCAACCCCCAGAGATCGCCACTGGCAATCTTTGGTACATACTCCTCCACGTATTTTTCTATGAATATATTAACATTAAAAGGTGGCGCAGTGGTAAAGAATCTGCCTGCCAATGAAGAAGACGCAGGAGATGGGGGTTCGATCCCAGGGTCAGGAAGATCCCCTGGAGCAGGGCATGGCAACCCACTCCAGTATTCTTGCCTGGAGAATCCCACGGACAGAAGAGCCTGGTGGGCTACAGTCCACGGGGTAGCACAGAGTTGGAAAAGACAGCACACACACATTCCATTATTAATATTAAAAACATTTTAAAATGAAAGCATACAATAGATACTCTTTTGCAATTTGCTTTGTTTTTCACTGAAAAATATCTAGATCTCTCTCATTCCATTTATTAGGAAAATTTTCTAAAATATGGATATGCCATCATTTGTTTAAACATTTTCATGTTGATAACAATAGATTATTTCTATTTTTTGTACGTGCAAACTACACTACAGTGAATATCCTTGTACACAGACCTTTGGTATGTGTTAAGTTTGCTAAAAAGTAGATTTTCAGACGGGACCTTGACAGGTCAAACTGTCAGGACATTAACAAGTCCCCTCCAAAAAACTGGACCAATTCACACTCCCACCAAACGGGCTTCAGCTCTGGATATAAATAAAGATTCTGAAATGTTTCTGCATTTTTCTCCCTTACGGGCTTTCACACATAATTATCAGTAATTTTCATTTTCATAAACACTTTCCTTCCTGATGATGCAAAATCACCAGCTGGAAAGTTCCATCACACTCCTGTGTGCATTTCGCCTCTCTCCAGAAAGAGGCAGAAGCAATGGAGCCAGAACACCTTCGTTTTCTTCAGCAGAAATCTCTCTCCTCGTAGCAGCTCATCCACTTCTCTTTAAATTACCATGCTTGCTAAGTTTAAAGCTATTAAAAAGTCCCAGTGTTCTATACAATCACTTTAGGGTTCTATTGGAACTCTTATACCAAGGAAATAAAAGCATTAGAGAGCCATTTTAAAATACAGATAAATGCCACTTGATTTGGCTGAATGTTGGGCCCCATTTTTTCTGATTCATCCAGGCTGTTGGCTTTGGACTCCTTAACGGTGACCTTGTCAGGCTAGGTTTCACCAGGAGGATGTTTGCCTGTTTCATTTTCTAAAAAGCCCTGTGAAATCTCTATGACTTTTATGCCTTGGCTTTTCTTATAATCAGTGTTTAAGGTCAAGGACATAAAATGTTTGGGAAAAGAAAAACCAAGTTCTGTGATCCTTATGATGAACCCTATTTTCAGCTGATCTACTGATGGAACTGGAGGAGAGGGGTCTTGATGACTGTGTCCTCAGAGGTGATCACCCTGTCATATCCATCCCTTCTCAGCTGGCTGACGAGTCTTAAGCGGGCCTGACTAACAACATCTTTAGTGCATCTTTAGCCTCTGCTCAGAGGTGCTGAGTTTGAATACCACCTGAGTTTGAATCTGGGCCCCAGTAGTTAAGAGCTGTGTGAGCTTGAGCAAGGCAGCTGAAGCTCTCTCTGCCTTCTTTTCCTCATCTGGAGAATGGGCATATGGACACGACCCACCTTATAGGATTGATGGGACGGCCAATGAAACAGTATCCAGGAAGTACAGAGAATGGTGTCTGCCTCTGAACAAGCACTCAGTAATGTTCTGCATTGTATTGAATTCTTAAGAGATGAAGTACAAGAGAAATTAAGAAGCATAGTTATACCTAATATCTTTATGGCACTTAGCATTTCAAGCAAAGAACTTTTCCAGACATAGCTTTATTTAAGTCTTAAAAGAAATCCTGGGAAATGAGTGGTTACTAGTCCAATTTTACAGATGGATAAACTGCTGTGCATAAAAATGACTTGCTTGAAGTTGCAGGACTAATGCCAGTACCTGTGAATACTGTGCCAAGCCTAATTCTTTTCATTTTTGTACCATAAAAATAACACAAACCATTTCTTTTCCTAAGGAATTCACTCATTCATTCTCCTATTGAAATCTTCCTTTACCCTCAGCTCAAATATCACCCTCTTCTAATCAGAAATAATTGTTCTGTCCTCTGTACTCACATATAACCCTTTGCTCTTAGAGCTTTAAGCTTGTGGCTCTCCAGCCCTGGTATTAAATTTCAAATGTGTCTATCAAGAACAGTTACAAAAGCCTTGGGGACTCTCCGACCTCTGGGACCATATCTCACTCACATGCCTGTCATTTAGTGCCTAGCACAGTGCCGGAAACAGTTTCTGCAATTGAGAATGTCATAGATGCGTATGCAAAGCGATCACAGGAAAACACGAGGTGGTCTGGACCATACCTGTGTTAAGACAGCTCTTCAAGATTTCTGGGAAAGCTTCTTGGCCCTGAGTTTTCCAATGAAGTTCTGGAAGAGCACAGTCTCCTATAATACTGAAGAAATGAATGAATAATAGTAGAATTTCAGGGAACCAAAGCAACTGTCTCATCCGAGAGGGAGTATAATATGGTGGTCAAGAGTCTGGACCCTGGATCCAGATCGCCTGGTTTGAATCCTAGCGCAGCCACTATCTGTGTCACCTCGAGCAAGTAGCTCGGAGCCTCAGTTTCCATGTGTATAAAATGGGCATAATAGCAGTGCTTACCTCACAGGGTAGTCATGATGACTAAACTTACCTCACAGGGTAGTCATGATGACTAAACTGGTTAATGTACATAAACTTCTTAGAAAAATACTTGACATGTAGTGATGACTGTGTATGCATTTGTCGATATCATCATCATCTACTGTTCATGAATTTCAAGCAAATCAGCAACTGTCTACTTTAACTCCTGTAAAACCAGCCCTGAATTTTGGGAGAAATTAAATGGGCAACTAAGATCACATCTGGTCCTATCACTTCATGGCAAATAGATGGGGAAACAATGGAAACAGTGAGAGACTTTATTTTGGGGGGCTCCAAAATCACTGCAGATGGTGACTGCAGCCATGAAATTAAAAGATGCTTGCTCCTTGGAAGAAAAGCTATGACCAACCTAGACAGCATGTTAAAAAGCAGAGACATTACTTTAACAACTAGGGTTTGTCTAGTCAAAGCTATGGTTTTCCCAGTAGTCATGTATGGATGTGAGAGTTGGACCATAAAGAAAGCTGAGTGCTGAAGAATTGATGCTTTTGAACTGTGGTGTTGGAGAAGACTCTTTTACTGCAAGGAGATCAAATCAGTCCATCCTAAAGGAAATCCACCCTGAATATTCATTGGAAAGACTGATGCTGAAGCTGAAACTACAATACTTTGGCCACCTGATGCAAAGAACTGACTCACTGGAAAAGATCCTGATGCTGGGAAAGACTGAAGGCAGGAGGAGAAGGGGATGACAGAGGATGAGATGGTTGGATGGCACCATCGACTCAATGGAGATGAGTTTGAGTAAGCTCTGGGAATTGGTGATGAACAGGGAAGCCTGGCATGCTGCAGTCCATGGGGATACAGAGTCGGACATGACTGAGTGACTGAACTGAAATGGGCAAAGAACTCAGTAGGAGAAGAAAGCATTAATTAGAGCATTCCTAGACTATTTTCAGGCACCAGAGTCTGCAGTCTACACTTGGTGTAGAGCAGGATGTCTCAAAGTGGGTTTCATTGAATTATTATTTGGAGTGATATGAAAAAAAAATTCCATGGGCACCCGAGTTTGGGAAATCAGATTAAGCAGATGCAAACAGATTGCTTTGCTGTGGGATTTCTCAGAGCATTAGTATATTAATATGCCTTGTGCAGCCAAGATGGGGAAGCAACCTAAACGGTCATTGACAGATGAATGGAGGAAGGTGTGCTACAGATATACGATGGAATACTACTCAGCCATAAAAAGGATGAAATAATGCCATGTGCAGCGACACGGATGGACCTAGAGATGATTATACCAGGTGTAGTCAGTCAGAGACGGACAGACAGCCTGTGATACCGCTTACGGGTGGAGTCGAAGTATCGATACACACGCACCCATTTACAAAGCAGAAACAGACTCACAGGCTTAGAAAACAAACTCCTGGTTCCCAAAGGGGATAGGCGGGGGTGGGGGGCAGGAATAAACTAGCGGGTTGGGATTAATGTGAACATAGTAATGTGCATGAAATCGATAATCAACAAGCACCTACTGCATAGCGCAGGGAACTCAACACTCTAATAAGCTACAGGGGAGAAGAATCTGAAAAGATAGCTCTGTGTGTGTGTATAAGCGAGTCAGGTTCTTGTACACTCGAAAGAAACACAGCATGATAAAGTACTATATTCCAACTTAAAAAGACAAATTAAATCTAAAAAGAAAAGAAAATATATTACAAGGACTCCTCAATGGCCAGGCTTTTGTGACGTTCCTGGGGCCTGAGCAGCCTGGGGCCCCCCAGCCTGGACTCTGGGCCAGCTGAGAGAGCCGGGGAGGACGCGCCAGCAAACGAGCCCCCTGAGTCCTGGAGCGTCTGGTCCCCTGTGGCCAGGACCACCATCTCCCGATCCAGGCGCACCTCCTGAAGGCTCCATGAAACCTCCTGCGTCCAAAGGCCAGCGCACGCTCTGGGCGGGAAGAGCTTGCGAAAGTCACCTGGTGTGCAACTCTCACGCCGGTGGAATCCCCGCCGCGGCCTCCCCGCACGGAGCCGTCGCCCCACCTAGGAACCACAGCGTCCTCAGCGGAGCGGTCCGCCAGGGCTTGGCATGGGGCGGGGGCGGGACACGTCCGGGGAAACAGACGGAGCACAAGCCCTCGGCTGCGTCTTCCCGGCCCGTCCGCCCTCCGCTCCCACCCAGGAAAGCCTCTCTTCAGGCTCTGCGGGCCGCCCACCCAGACCTGGAAACGGAAACGTGCTGCCGCCTTGTGGACACGTCCTGTAACAACACCTTGAAAACCACCGCTTCTGGGCGCTGGGTACTCATAGAGGCTGGGGTCCCGGAAATGACCCCCTGCCCCCAGAAATGTCCAGAGCTGGTCATCAGAAACAGTTCAATAAAGAACCCCGTTCACGAAGCAAATTTCACGAGCTGAGCGTAGGCAGAATGTGTTGCTGCGTTGATGATTTTGCTGAAACACAAGAAAAGCAATCATTAGGGAGAGGCAGGCAACTCAAAATAATTTGCGATTGGGGAATGAGAAATGAAAAGATAGACCCAGCTGAACGCAGAGTTCCAAGGAATAACAAGGAGAAATAACAATGCCTTCTTAAATAAACAATCCATAGAAATAGAGGAAAACAAAGGTGTGGAAAGACTAGAGTTCTCTTTAAGAAAATTAGATACCATGGGCACATTTCGGACAAAGAGGGGCACAGTATAGGACAGCAATAGTATGGACCTGACAAAGCAGAAGATGAAGGGAATATGCTCTGCACGGGCCTAGACTATAATCAACGGGGCTTCTTTGAAAAATAAGAATGACTTTCTCATCACCCCCAGGTGAAGGGCTGGGAGCAGTAAAAAGTACATTGTGAAAAGACATCTTGAATACAAGATGTTGAAGTACTGATGTGACTGATAGAAAACCATCAGTGACTGTTCCCTTAACCAGAGCCTTGAGGGAGTTGCTGAGAAAGGGTGTCACTAGCCAAAATGCTAAACAAAGTCATGAAAGGCCTGAAGGTTTGACATTGAGGACTGTGCATTGTATATCTTATCCCTAATCTGAGATTGTAAAGAACAGTTATCTCTAGAGCACGAATAAGGAAGTAGAAGTTAGTTAACAATGAAAGGCATGCAAGGATTAGGATCTGGGCTTTTGCCTGCAAATGGCATCAGCCCCCTGATCCCCACTTTATTTCTGAGTCTTATTTTTCCTTATTCTTCTGCAGCACCGCTCCCTCGGGTCAGTTCATTGTTGGGTTGGTGCCGACAGAAGAGATTTAGAAGAGGTGCCAGGAATACAAAAAAGGTCTATATAAACTGGATAGCCACAATGGTGTGATCACTCACCTAGAGCCAGTCATCTTGGAGTGTGAAGTCCAGTGGGTCATAGGAAGCATTACTAGGAGCAAAGTAATGGAAATGATGGAATTTCTGCTCAGCTATTTCAAATCCTAAAAGATGATGCTGTGAAAGTGCTGCACTAAATATCCCAGCACACGTTGAAAATTCAGCAGTGGTCACAGGACTGGAAAAGTTGTTTTCATTCCCATCTCAAAGAAGGGCATTGCTAAAGAATGTTCAGACTACCTCACAATTGTGCTCATTTCACATGGTAGCAAAGTCATGCTCAAAATCCTCTAAGCTCGGCTTTACTAGTACATAAACCAAGAACTTCCAGATGTAGAAGCTGGATTTAGCAAAGGCAGAGAAACCAGAGGTCAAATTGCTAACATCTGTTCGATCATAGAAAAAGGAAGCGAATTCCAATAAAACATCTCCTTCTGCTTCACTGACTACACTAAAGCCATTGACTGTGTGGATCACAACAAACTGTTGAAATTTCTTAAAGAGATGGGAATACCAGACCACCTGACCTGCCTCCTGAGAAATCCGTATGCAGACAAAGAAGCAACAGTTAGAACCGAAGATGGAACAACAGACTGGTTCAAAATTGGGAAAAGAGTACGTCAAGGCTGTATATTGTCACCCTGTTTATTTAACTTAGATGCAGAGTACCTCATGTGAAATGCCAAGTTGGATGAATCACCAGCTGGAAACAAGATTGCTGGGAGAAATATCAACAACCTCAGATATGCAAATGATACCACTCTAATGGCAGAAAACAAAGAGGAACTAAAGAGCCTCTTGAAGGTAAAAGAGGAAAGTGAAAAAGCTGGCTTAAAACTCAGCATTCAGAAAAATAAGATCATGGTATCTGGTCCTATCACTTCATGGCAAATAGATGTGGAAACAATGGAAACAGTTTCAGACTTTATTTTCTTGAGCTCCAAAATCATTGCAGATGGTGACTGGAGCCATGAAATTAAAAGACACTTGCTCCTTGGAAGAGAAGTTATGACCAACCTAGACAGCGTATTCTAAAGCAGAGACATCACTTTACTGACAAAGGTCCATGTGGTCAAAGCCATGGTTTTCCCAGTGGTCATGTATGGATGTGAGAGTTGCACCATAAGGAAGGCTGCGGGGCTCAGCTGCTCAGTCGTGTCCGATTCTGCCACCCCAGAGACTGTAGCCCGCCAGGCTCCTCTGAAATGGGGATCCTCCAGGCAAGAACACTATGGGTTGGCATTCCCTTCTCCAGGGGGTCTTCCCAACTCAGGGTTCAAACCCAGGTCTCAGACATTGCAGGCGGATTCTTTACCATCTGAGCCACCAGTGAAGGCTGAGTGCGGAAGAACTGATGCTTTCAAACGGTGGTGCTGCAAGGAGATCAAACCAGTCAATCCTAAATGAATTCAACCCTGAAGATTCATTAGAAGGACTGATGCTGAAGCTGGAGCTGCAATATTTTGGCCACCTGATGAGAAGAGCCGACTCACTGGAAAAGACCCTGATGCTGGGAAAGACTGAGGGCAGGAGAAGGGGACGGCAGAGGATGAGATGGTTGGATGGCATCACTGACTCAAAGGATATGAGTCTGAGCAAACTCAGTGAGAGAGTGAAGGACAGATGAAGCCTGGCGTGCGGCAATCCATGGGGTTGCAAAGTGTCGACACGACTTAGCGACAGAATACCACCACCCCAGTGGAAGCGCAGTAAGCTAGGTGTCTAGAGACCTGGGAACTAGCCCTGACTGCATCTTGCTTTGTGACTTGGAGTGAGTTCCACCCTCTTTCTTGGTCTCAGCTTTCCCATCTGTACAGATAAAAAGGGTTCCAAACCTCTTTTATGTTTTCAACCTGAAGGTCCCTTTTTTTTTTCGCACGAGGCATGGACAGGGACCCCCCCTCCTGTACCCACACGGACCGGGAAGAGACTTGCCAGGGGGTTAGAAGCAGAGCAAGAGACCCAGATCTGCCCGTGTCACTGGCCTCTCCCTTAGATCCCGGCAGCCAGCACTGGGGAAGAAACACGCCTCATTTCATGTCCAGCGGTCACGGGAGTCCCAGCGCAAGCCATGCCTCCAGGCGGGATTGTGTCTGGGGTCAGGCGATGAACCTGTTTTTCAACCATTGTGATTTCTGCAGTCCATTCTATCATTCAGACAGGGTGATACTCACAAGAGCGGTGGGGTCCCTCTGTCAAAGTGCCTCCCCAGGAGCACAGGCTGACTTGGCGTCACAGTGAAGCTGCTGAGCGGGGCACGGAGCTCACGAGGCGGGCACCGGACGTCAGGGGCGGGTGTGGGCACGTCACGCAGCTCCCCACAGGCCTGGCTTCCCTCCAGGCTGGCCCCGGCCCCGGCTCCCCGGCCTCTGCCACCTGCCGCCGCGAGGCGGAGCGGGCGGGAGGCGGGGTGCAGGCTGGCACTCCCTGTCCACTGGCACCAGGACCCGGCCGAGATGACGGAGGAACTGGCAGAGACTGTGCCAGACTGGGTGGTGTCCAGGGGAGGCAGATGGCAGCTGCTCGGGGTCAGGAAGGAAGGAAACAGAGGCAAGGAAGGGGCAGAAAGGGAGGGAATCAAGTAAAAGAAAGACAGGAAAAAACTGGCACTTCCGGGGTGGCTGGGGGCTAAGACTCTGCGCTCCCAACGCCGGGGCCCGGGTTCACTTCCTGGCCAGGGAACTAGACCCCACGTGCTGCCACTGAGATCCGGCGCAGCCAAATAAATAAATTTAATTAAATTAAAAAAATTTTTTTTAAGTAAAGGCAGAGTGAAGCAGTGTGATTACCCACTGCCAGAACCAGGGGACCCAGGTTTGAATCCCAGTCCAGGAGCTGTTTGATCTCAGGTGGGTCGGTCGCGTAGATTCTCCGGACTTAAGTTTTTCTCATCATTAAAATGGGACCATGGTCGTACCTCCCTTCTAGGTTGGAGGATTAAAGAGGTCAGCATTTGGAAAGTGCTGGAAGAGTGCCCAGCGCTTAGGAAGGACTGAGTAAATGTTTGTTCAATAAAGAGGAAGGGAAGCTGCCATTCAAATGCCTTGGCAGTTGGCGTCAGGCTGAGTCAGATCCTGCCACGGGAGGTATGAGTCCAAGCTGGCTCATGGAAATATTGTTGGGTGTCACGGCCCTGCCAGGCGGGAGCTCAGAACTGAATCAGATAGGAACCACACTTCAGTGAATGTGATGGGGGTGCAGGGCGGGGTGGGGGGTGGGGGTGGGGAGCAGCAGCCTCTGCGGTCCTGAAAAATAGAAAATAAGGAATTGACCTGAGAGCAGGTGAGCTGCAAGGCTGCCCGATTTGCAGGTCACGGACTGGCATCGCCTTTGACCAGGCAAGGCTACCACCCGCCCAGAGGCCAGAGGGACCTTCAGTGAATGAGAAAGACACCCCCCAACCCCCGCTCACTCAGCAGATGGAGCCCTGTGCCAGCACTCAAGCCCTGGATTTGGCCAAAGGGGCTGGCTGCCCACCCAACCCCTGTTCCCACTCGACCCCTCGACGGTGATATACACAACCCGAGCTGTGTTCCCAGGGACAGAGGAGAGAATCAAAGTCAACACGCTGCTCGGGTTCGGAGAAAAATTCACGCCAGTCATCTGCAGATTCAGAGCTCATTCCTCTGACCTGCTTCTCCGGAGATACGTGTGCTCGGCCAGTTGAGAAGTTAATCCTAGTTTCAGCCCAGAATTGAAGCAATCCATATAACATGTAGTATCTGAAGTATTTGAGGCATTTAAGAGAGTTTGGAGTGCAAAGCATCTAACAAGACTTGTGCCTCCAGTTTAAAATGTGTAACTCAGAATTGACTTAGGATTGCAATTTTAAGTTCATTCAATAAACTGTGTATGTGTGTATTGCCCGAGATACACCAAACTGACCCTGATTCTCGCCCTCCTGGAGCTGGAGAGACATAGACTCTAGACAATACGTATATACTAAGTAAGTATATTATGTGATATGTTGGAAAGTGGTGAATGCTATAGAAAAAAGATAAAGGAGATGGGGAGGGCCAGGTCACAGGATTTAGTAGGGGGCTGGGAGTAGGCTGACTATAGGCACAGTTTGAAGAAAGA